TGGCACTAGCACCGCCCGCAAAATCCCCCCTTTAGAATGTTCAAGGAGAGTATCGGACACCTTGGCTGTGAAAAAAAACAAAGTTTTACAGATTGAGTCTCTTGGGAGCGACCACTTGTCTTCCAGAATGGGTTGAGTAGTGTCGGCCCGTACCATCACCACGAACACGTGGTGGTGATGCTGGACGAGGCACATCACGATGACGCGAGTAGACAGGTCCACCTGAGGCCGAACCGTCGACGGAAGCTAGGGGTGACGCCGGCCTCGGAGAGACACAACAGCACCTGCCGCAGGCGTTGGTCATGTTCCTTTTTCGTTCTGCCGAAGACTAGGATGTCGTCGACCATGTTGACCAATCCGTCTAGGACTTCCAAGATCCACGCCACCTGTCGCTGGAAAAACTCAGGGGCCGACGTGATGCCAAATGGGAGTCGGCAAAAGCAATAACGCCCATACGGCGTAATGAACATCGTAAGCTCTTGAGAGTCCTTGGAAAGCTTGACCTGATGGAAGCTTGAGGTAACTTTGAGCTTCGAGAAGACTGCCGCATCGCCCAGAAGTCCCAGGACTTGATCGACGGTGGGGAGCACATGACGTTCTCTCGGGACAACTTGATTTAATTTTGTAAAGTCGATACAGACACGGTAACCTCCCGACGACTTTGGAACCATGAACAGTCCAGCGTCCCGAGGTGTGGGGTTGGTGACACGCCGAATGGCTCCGTCTTGCTCCAGTTTGGCCAGTTCTGTTTGCACCACCTCGCGCAGGGGTATCGGTATGCGGCATGGAACACTAAGTGAAAACGGAACCGCATCCGGGCGTAGCCGAATCTTGTACTCCTCCTTGAGCGTGCCGAGACCTCTGAAAAGTCCCTGCGGTGCCGGCACTTTCATGTCGTCCAAGAACTTTACCACACCCAGAGCCTGGATGGCTGGGAACCCGAGCAGGGGCATAGAGAGGGACTTGATCACGTACAGACGCTGATGACCGGTCTTGCCTCGCCACAGGAGGGTAGCCATGAAGTACCCAATGACTTTTAGCGACTGGTCTCCTGGTGCTGTCAGCAGGTCGTCGACCTTGTCCAGATGATGAGGTAAGTTCGGGAAGGCTTCCGAAACAGCAGACGCCTCCGCGCCGGAATCTACCTTGAATATCGCCGTGTAGTTGTCGACATTGACCTCAACGTACTTGGCCTTGGCCTTCTCAGTCTCGAGGATTGCGTGGAGCGGTAAGGAACGCCACCTTGCTCTGCTTTCGTTTCCGAGCGCAACAGACGTCCGCGAAGTGGCCCTTCTTCTTGCAATAATTGCACAGAGACTGCCGAGCAGGACAGTCTGAGCGTGTGTGGGGGGCCCGACTGCAGTAGCTGCAGGAACCTGGGTCGTTATCGCCAAGTGAAGACACTGCTGATGCGTCGTCTGACCGTTTTGTTGTCTTGCGTTGGTGCGTCGGACCATGACAAGACTTGGTGGCGTCAACGTTGACGGTGACCTGGACACTCTCGACTCCCGCGAGCAGTTTTTTTCTTTTTCGGCGTCTTCGATCTGCCTCACCTGCGTCCACGCGTCCTTGAGGCTGAGCTTGGCTTTCCAGCAGAGCTGGCCGGACAGGCGTTCGTCGCAAAGACCAACAACGAACCGGTCGCGAACCAGGCGTTCTTCGACTTTGGGGGACGGGTAGTTGCACCACTTGACAAGCTTGCAGAGCTCGGCGTAGTAACTGTCGACGCTCTCTCCCGGCTGCTGAACCCGCTCGTGGAACCTCGAGGACTCTTACACCTCGTTGACGGGGTACAGGAAGTGTTCCGAGAAGCGCTTGACCACCGTGTTGTAGTTGTTCAGGGAGGCGGCGTTCAAGCCGAACATGTCGAGAAGGACCCGAGCCTCGGGGCCCATGCAGTAGAGAAGTGTCCGCACCTGAATGTCCGGTGGTGCTTGGCGAAGTACGGAGGCATAAGCGTACTCCTCGAGTTGCGTAAACCGGGTAGGCCAAGAACCGGTGTTGTCGAAGTCGAAACCAGCAGGCTGACGTACGGAGCCGCCCACCCACGCGGGCAGTGTTTGCAACCCGATTACCAAAAGTGTCCAAACTTGGCACTAGAACCGCCCACAACAGACACTACAATTTTATGATCAACACTCAGTCTTTCCGATATTTAAAAAAAAAGTCTGTCAGGCGTGGCACCATAACGTTCACCCAGAGTGCCTCATCAAAGGGCACCCGTGTGACCCAGCAGTCTTTCGCCCAGTCAACAACAAGGTCACACCACTCCAGTCCTGTGAGCGCAAGTTGTCCTGTCACCTGGTAGTAGTGCTTGTGCTTTTTGTCGACACTCTTGTCCGCATGGATAAACTCCACAAACCCTCTGCTCATCACCTCCTCGAAGGTCGTCAGGTTCGCATCTATCGCCCGTGACACGGTCTTCACTTCGACTAGTCCGTACTCCTGTATATCTTCGTCCCAGACCAGCCCGTCTGGTGATGCCCCCAGCATGGGAAGGCCAGGGTTGATGCAAAGGCCAACACTGAAGACTTGGACCTTTTGCTTGGCCTTGTAGCGCTTCAGAGCAGCCGCCTCATTCTGAAGTCCCGCCCTCATGTGACGTGTCGTGCCATGTCCGCCCGAGAAAATCGTCCTGAGAAACTTTTCGTTCACGGGTGCTTGTCGTTTGACGATGTCTCCGAACTGTGATGCCGTGATCCTTTTCTCACGTTCCGTGTGCCACAGCATACTTCTGCTTTGGCCACGTGTCTGTTCCTCCAGGTGCTGAGCTTGTGTAAGAGTCAGGGTGCATGGATCGCTTGGTGGCATCTGGTGATTCCAGCACTCTTTTATGGGCAAGCTGATCCGTGCTGCAGAGGCCCCATCATCCGTGTTCGAGTGCTCCTGAACCTTCCTTGGCAAGGGTGTGAAGGCAGCTTCTTCCATCACGTCCGCAAACATTGGGAATATTCCCTTCTCAATGAAATCTGTATGCAGCCTCTTGACGGTTGCCTGCGCCACGTCCACATGCACTTCCGTGGTTTTTCTCGCACTCTTCGCCTTGTTGCTAGAGTCGTGCTTGACGAATTCTAGTTCGTTGAACGACACCGTACTTGCACCTCTCTTTGAAGATGGGCCCCACTGCCTTGCTCCCTCAGTGCAGGCCAGAGCATCCGGGATGTAGGACCTTCCCTCCCTTATCAGGTCTAGCATGTGCCAAAGCAGTGCTGCCACATGCTTGCACACACCGCCTTGTCCAGCCTTGCAGGAACAGGAAGCCTTGCTGACCTGCCCATCTTGGCAGAGCACAGCATGCACTGCGTATCGCTTCGTAAGGGTCATGGAAGCCTCCACGTTAGCCTTGACAATTGTCTCTGATGCACTTGTGGTGTGGAGGAAGATGTTCTGCACTTTGTGGGCCTTGAACATTTTGTAGCCAGAACTTGTGTGCTTCTGTGCTCCAGCTGCTTGGCCATGCCCTTGGATGTGGCTTTCCGAGAATGCGGAAGGAAAGTCCTTCAGCTGCTTGGTCCAAGGTCCTGCTGGAAGTGGTAGCTCTTGCGGCTCTGGTACATCCCGTGTCGCCATAGCCTTCCCTGAAAAAAAGGCAGCTCAGTCAGCGTTTTAAAAGGAGGACGGAAATTTGACCAACACAGTTTTTTAATGGGTTTGGTGTTGTTTTGACAGAATTAACCTAAACTTGCGAAGTAAGAGTTCATCTAGGGTAACAACCCCTCAAAAAAAGCCTGCTGTAAACTTTGTGCTAAAAAAAGAGCGTTTGCTATTAGGCAAACATGCCAGCTTTTGTAATCTACAACTTCTTGTGCACTTTCGAACATTACACAGTCGAAGGAGCATTCTGAAAGCAAGCCACGCACTGGCATTGGGGACAAGCATCTCCAGTGTCACTGAGCTGCTTGTTGCTGCTGCCCTGTCAGTGTCCATGATATAGTGCAGCTCTGAATACGAAGAACGCGTTTTGACCATAATCCGTTTCGTGCCAGCAGCATAAAGCTGCTGGCACGACCGTGAAGTGTTGTACAGGAGTGGCAAAGACACTCCAGCTTTCAATGCGTCAGTGTTCGTCCAAAAGAAGCAGTTCGCAGAGCCACTAAAAAGTGTCTAGCATTTCATATGCACGCGCTTGCGTGAAAACGGGATGATCAATAAAGATATGCACTCGCGGGACGCTGTGTTAGCGCGGTTCGCAGGGGCAATCTTGCCTCACCACAGTGAGCGCGCTAGCTGAACTGTAATTTCGATAAACAATGGAATCTCCCCCATACTATGCATAAAACGCAGTCAGAACCCCTTCTCCCGCCGCGACGAAGAACCGAACGCGAAGGATGTGATGCTGCGCGGACGGTTGTTGACGAGCGCTGCCGAGGCACGCCGACCGCTGGTACAGCTTCGCAAGCGTCCGAAGGGCAAAAAGATCGCAACGACAAAGCACCGTCCCGAATGTTGAGCACGCAAGCAGTACTCGATATCCCACGCTCACATTTCACAGGGCGAGCGCATCACGAAGCGAAGGCATGTCGGCCTTCGCTTCGTGATGACTACTTTATTTCTCTGCTTACAGCGGTGACATTTGTAGTGATGTTCGAAACTGCTCTCTCGCGACCGCACACGAGTTAAATGAACGGCCTAGGAGCGGGATAGAGCGTAACGGCAACAGTCAGTACTCACCCCGGGAGCGGCGAACGAAGCGGCGTGGTGTCCGTCGACGGCCGCGTCGAAAACGATGGAATATGCACAAAAACACGTAATATACAGAAGAAATACAAAGCGCTGAACGAAATAGATACACTTATGAACAAGAAAAATACACTGGAGTAGATAAAAAAGAGGATTATTAAGTATAAACAACGAAGATGAAAAGTATGTCTAGGGCGAGGTGATGCGATTCCAACGGAGAGCAGCCAGACGACGGGGGCCGACAGAACACCGATCCCAAGATTCCTCGCGCGCGCGCCGGGGCGCTTGGGAGAGACTGCAAATGGTCTATTGACTAGCGAGGGCGAGCCCACACTGGCCAGCAGCAGTAGCACCGATGGGCCCACATCATCACGGTGTCACACGCACCACACTACAGAAGAAGGTAAAAGCAATTGCATATTGGCGGAGAAGTGTTGCAGGCCTTGTTTCTTATATATTTCGGACTGTCATGTAGTAGCCATCTTTGGGAAACATGTAAAACATGTATGAACATGTTTTTAATCTATAGTTCGCTGCAACCTGAGAACGAAGGGCGATGGTAAGACGGGCCGGGGAGGAGGAAGCAGACGGAACGCTAAAGAGAGGAGGTTCTCCTCTTTCTTCTCCAGCGTTCCGTCTGCTTCTTCCTCCCCGGCCCGTCCTACCCTCGCCCTTCGTTCTTAGGTTGCAACGGGCTACAGCTTGTCACATGCCGCAGGAATTTCCTGAAACAATACAATGACTGATGTTTTTGACAGATTTTTTAATTGCCTCGTCATTTCTTTGCAGATGTGGGGAGCAGTCTCACGGCTCTGACCTCTGGCACGAAGACTAGCCCTCCAACCAGAGTTCATGGTAAGTTTTTATCGTGTGCGTTGTTTAGGACAGTCTTTGAAGATTACTTTGTTGCGTAGTACTTGACCAGTCATAGCTGGTTCAGCTTTTTGCAACCACTCTGTCACTTTGTTTCCTTTGTTTTGTTTATTGTAGTGGATCACACATACGCGATGCAAGGCGCGATGGATGGACATGGCCCGCCGTCTGGCGGAAACGATGTGTGGGCACCTGAACCTTCCCCTACCGATTATGATGCGTCGGTGTATTCGACTTCTGCGGTTCCTCACCAACGTAGGTGTCCGTCATGATGCACAAAGTTTACTTGTACTTCCACATTTTCTACAGTGGAGGCACATTGTTTATTTCATTATATCTCGAAATGTTTCATAATTGCTTTTGCTTTCCCCTTGCAGGGTCCTGTGCAACCCGCACCGAGGGCAAGGGGAAGATGGACGTGTTGAGGGCCAGACTTCGACAGCTTCGGAAACATAACAAGAGACTCCAGCAACGACTGCAGCGACGGCGTCATATGCTGACTGTCACTGAGATAGTTGAAAGTGTACGTAGCCTCGTCTCTCCAGCCGTTGCTGCCCTTGTGGAAGCTCAGCTGAAGATAACCAATGCGAGCAGGTTCGGTAGGCGGTGGTGCAGCCAGAACAAAGCCTTTGCCTTGGGCTTGTACTTTCACAGCCCTAAGGGTTACCGGTACCGTAGGCAATTGTTGAGGCTCCCATCCGTTAGGTCGCTACAGCTTTGGCTTCAGCGTGTTCCCCTGAGGGTTGGTTTTTACCCAGAAGTTTTCAAACTAGTCAAAATACGTGCAGCTTCTTTTTCACCAGAAGACAAGCCATGCATTATTGCCTTTGACGAGATGCACGTCACGAAAGAGCTCTCGTACAACCCCTCTGTGGACAGGTTTGAAGGGCTCGAAGAAAGTAACGCTGGAAGAGGCCATAACCTTGCAAACAAAGCTCTTGTGTTTATGGCTAAAGGCATTCGTACGCCATGGAAGCAGCCACTTGGCTATTGTTTTGCTCATGGGGGAACACCTGCCAACATTTTGCGTGACCTTCTTTTCCAGTGCCACAATTTGCTTGTGAAAACCGGCCTGGAGCCAGTAGCTGTCGTATGTGACCAAGGCAATCAAAATGTTGCTCTTTTTAATGGCCTTGTTACCCCTGAGAAGCCCTACGTAACTGTGAATGAGAAGCCACTTTTTTTTTCTATTTGATGTTCCACATCTGCTGAAGTACTTACGAAATATGTTCTTCAAGTACAATTTTCAAGTTGGGGACCACACGTTGAGAAGCTCTTTCCTCAGGGAAGCTTACGAAAAAGACAAACAGCTTGAAATCCGATCCATGCCAAGGCTCAGTGAGAAGCATTTTAATTTGACTTTTGCCTCCAAAATGTCAGTGAAACTAGCAGCGCAAATATTCAGTAATCACTGTGCTGCTGCAATGTTTGCCATGGTAACTTTCCAGCAACTGCCAGTTGAAGCTATCCACACGGCCCGGTTTATTGAAAAAATGGATCGTCTTTTTGATAGCTTGAACAGCTCACAGAAACGCGGGAAGAGTGCATATGTGTCTGCAATGCACGAAGGCTCTGTTCACAAGGAGTTTCTGAAAGAATGCCTTCATATGTTCGAAAGCCTTACCGTCCTTGGGTGCCCACGGCAGCCTGCTTGCATTCGCGGTTTCTCCTTGACCATTCGGTCTATTATGCTGATTTGTGAGCACCTGACATCTGAGTATGGTTTCAGATACCTCCTGACTCGCCATCTCAGCCAAGATGCACTCGAAAACACATTCTCCGTAATAAGGTCAAAGTCTGGTGCGAACGCCAATTCCTCTTGCCGGCAGTTTCAGGCAGCCTTTAGACATCTCCTAGTTAGCAACTTGTTTAAACTGTCTGACAAGAGCAACTGCGAAGAGGACATGGCAACTCTTTTAGCGGCCCTTCCGGTTGGTTTCTCAGCTCCCTCAGCTTCACTTAGTCTAGGAAGCTCACTTCCACAATGTGCAGCTGACCTGACATCCTGTAGTTATCCCACTTTATTATCACTTAACAACATGGTTTACTTTGGTGGATGGCTTGTAACAAGGTTTATCAAATATCACACATTTCAAAACGTGACTCAGCAATGTGAATTGCAAATCAAGAATGCCACTTTTTCTGATGACAGCCAAGTGTTGTAGTATTTGAGTGTGAAAGGAACGGCTGAAGGAGACTTTGGAAGCCTCTCGGTCCCCTCACCTTGCTTTGTTTCTTTCGTTCAAGCTTGTGAGAAGGGTTTTGTGGCGTCAATTGACAGTCTTGTTTTGAAAGAAGGCGTTGGGAAGGCGTTGTGCATCACTCTTCATGAGAAGGTCGAAAAGCTGCTGACACTTTGCAGTGAGGATGTCTATGGTGATTTATTTGCTTTGTTTACAAGGGTGAGCTTCATTGGTTCGCCCGTAAAAAAAATACTGCGCTCCTTGATGCAGCTGTGAGACGCAAAACCCAGCACCGAGTCCAGAGGCTGTGCAGATGAGACATCACTTGCGTTATGCCCACAGGAAGTCAGGAAGTATTTTTAGTTTATCTTACGTGTTGCATTCAACGATCACGCTGGCATACCGGATTGTGCGAGTACATACCTTTAAATTATCACACGCTTTGCCGAAACTGTCTTCTGCGTTGACCAAATGAGTCTATCATACTTTAAATAAAGTGAAAAAGTTTGTTTCGCATGCTCAGACAGTGCAATCAACGTATAGGTTCAGCTAGATGAACTTGAATTTTCAATGAATCAATATCGAAATTTCAGTGTCGCAGCATGCAAAACTAATTTTTTCGTTCTAAGTAAAATATGTTAGATTCATTCGACCCTCGCTGTATAGTGCTAGATGACGTTGCTCACTGAATGATGGGACAGGGTGTCTACCAAATCACTTATTCCAAATTTCCCAATTTTCCCAAGGTTTTCCTCTCTATTTCGATAAAATGTTGACCGTTACTTCGGTTCAGGGAGTGCCTAGTGGCCTGCGCTGCCTAATGACGTGTCGGGCAACGTTATTCAGTGCAGCGGCACCACCGTGAAATCCTTGTGCAATCATCGGGCTTCGTTGCACGCTGCCGTTCCACTTTCGCTTATCATTTTTACTGATTAGGAACTTTTTTACGGTTCCCTTTATATTACCCTGTTCTTTAAATATAATCCGCCTTACTTAAATATTTTAAGTTTTCCAGGTTGGTAAACACCCTACACACCCTGTGCATTATTGAGGAGTGTGTGAGAAGAAGCGCTGACCTCGGTGTTTTCTTGTGCAGTGTGACGACTTGAGACATAAACCTGGATTAATGTTTGGTTGTGTGAGGTATACAAAAGTATATCAAACTGCGATGAAACGTAACTCAGTGAGTCAGTATGGTGCTAACAATTTGCCACAAAGCGAATTATTATCTTTTTTTAATGCTTTCTTTCCTGTCATTTTGTGGCAGTTTCCTGCGTACTAGTCCTCACATAAATAGCCAAGCTCTGGAGCACAATATGTGTGTGACGAGCGCATGTGCTATAACGAAACGTCTCAATTTTCAATCTCTTGAAGCATTAATTCATGCGGACATTCCAATGCAAAAGACATGCATAGCCCAGCACCTCCACCTGTGATTGATATAGTTAAATCTAGTTACGAGCTCTCAACGTGAACAGTACAAGATAAATGCGTAAACGTGCCTCCCGTTGAGAGTATTAAGTGCGTGCATAGAGTTGTCCAGACCTTGTTTCACTTCGTTTTTAATGCCATATCTATCTTCAAGTGTTCAGTGGTGGTGTTGTAAGTTTGTATATAATAAACTGTGTAAACCAAGCTTGTGCCTTTTTGTCTTTCTTGGCGAACAAGCCGGTATTACAATGATAGGTACGCCTTCATAGGCGTGCTGTAACACACTGCTTAGTTGAAGATAGTAACTTATTGGTGGTTCCCAGAACTGATAAAAAACTGGTTCTTTTGGGAAGAGGGATTACATGGGAGTGACTGATACAAACAAGGCTATAGACCGTTTTACTGAAAGAGGGCGAGAGAGAAAAGGGGAAAGGGCTACCGGCGCTTTCCCCCTTTCTGATTGTGTAAAAAGAGTGAAAGTCCCGGATGAGAGGCTTGGCCGGTGTTGAGTACTTGCTGTGCCCCAACTTCGTTCGCGCTTTCTTTTCTGTTTTGAACTCGCAAACTTAATTAGAGTAACGGGCTTCGATGGCAACAGTTCCCGGGTCATCGGGACACCATTGCTCGGTCATAGGGTGCACGAATAACGACAGAAAGCGTCGAATACTGTCCGAGGACCTGTGTAGCTTGCAATAAATCCGGCAAGGCGAGAGCGGCTGCAATGTCTTTAAGCTCCATCGCTTTCCACATGACCCCGGTCTTGGCGGCAGTGGGTTGCGTTCGTAAACCGAAAAGACATATCCTCAACACCATCTTCTCGACTGTGCTCGGAACAGCTTGTGAATGGAGCGCGCACCGAACGCTGTACCGCCGATGAACATGGGGTACGCTCGCAAGGTGCGTGCCAGTTTTCTCGTGATAATTGCTGTTTCAGCTTGTAAAATTTTGTAACTGAATTTATCTTAATATTGATAATTTGCAGTGGTGACTGACTCGATTTCATCATTTACAACACTTAGTTGAAGGCTTATTTCCGCCGCCCGGTGAGGCTAGAAATTGTTGAAAAGGTAGTTCTATCGGTTTTTCTGAATAGCGATCCCCTGTGCGATGCCAGAGAGCCGGCAAAAGCGCTCCTTGGCGTGCCGCTGGTGGGTTTTTTGGGTTGTTTCCGTTGATTGGGCGCTTTGAAGCGCTGGATAGTCGCTCCAGGGTACGACTCGCGTGTTGCGATCTGCGTCTTCGGGCCCAGTGTGTACGTTTCTTTGTTCGGGTCATGGCATCCGCCAGTGCGGCAACGGGGGGAACAGCGGCAGCGAACGTGCCAGTGATAGAAATTGGAGGTTAGTACTCAAAATGTTGCATCAAATAGTAAAATAATTCGTGGCTGCTTGGACGCTTTCTGCGGTTCGATATAAGCACATTTAGAACGTCTTCGTCGTTCATCCACAATGAAATACGAGAACACGGACATGCAAGATAAAAGCAGCGCAGCAAAACGATCTGTAGCAGCTCCGGGTGTTTACAAAAGTTAATTGAGGTTCCCGTTTCGTGTATCGCTTGTTGATTACTAAAA